TTCTGGAAGGAAACCCTTACATCTGGTGTAAAATGAACACAGCATTTGATAAAAAGAACATCATGGCAACAGTGAAAAATGGTGGTGGTAGTGTCATGGTTTGGGGCTTTGTTGCTTCAGGACCTGGACAACTTGTTGTGATTGAAGGAACCATGAACTCTGCTCTCCACCAACAAATCCTGAAGGAGAATGTCCAGTCATCAGTTTGTGACCTCAAACTGAAGTGCACTTGGGTTCTGCAGGAGGACAATGACCCAAAGCACACCAGCAAGTCCACTTCTGAAAGGCTTAAAAAAAACAATGAGGGTTTTGAAGTGGCTTAGTCAAAGTTCAGACCTGAACCTAATTGAGATGCTGTGGCATGACAAAAAGGTGAAGAAGAGAAAATCCCTTCACAGTGATGTGAAAGACTCATTGCCAGTTATCGCAAACACTTGACTGCAGTTGTTGCTGCTAAGGGTGGTTCAACCAGTTATTAGGTCTAGGGGGCAAGTACTTTTAGGTAGGTTCAGATTAGTTCAGATTTTAGTAGGTTCAGATGGCTTTTTTCCCTTTAATAAATGAAATCGGCACTTAAAACTGGATTTTCTGTTTACTTGTGAGTTATCTTTGTCTAATATTTAAGTTTGCTTGATCTGAAATGGCTAAGAGTGATAAAGGTGCAAAAAAGTAAGAAATTGGTAAGGGGGCAAATACTTTTCACAGCACTGTATGTGGCTTTGCTGCACAGAGACCATAAGAAAAATTTGAAGTATTTGGAGATTTTGATGCCTCACCCGTTGAGATAATGTTTAGCAAATTTGAGCCTGTTCAGAACGTTCATAAAAGTATGACATTTACAGAAAATGCTTGGCAAATTTTTATCTAATATGGCTGACATGTGGACAGTGTTGTCTTGTCATGATCTACTTTTGTCTCAAATTTCATGATTCTACTGGCATTTTTTCTTTTGGCATTGTTCTTATACCACTTTTTGTGTGGGGGAGTGCTGATGTGTCATTTTGTTTGTTTTTGAAAATTGGAAATAGCCAGAGAAGCAGAAATTTTAATGTGATTTTTGCCATTGTCCACTGGGTGAAAAATGGGGGCTTTGGCTAGCACTGTGCAATCCTACTATGTGGTGACGATCGCTGATCACTACAGGCACTTCACTTCCCATCAGTTCACTTATACTAATAGACCCTTCGCCAGCCTCTGTCGCTTGGGCCTAATTAGTATGAACTAGCATGAACAATGAATGCAAATTGTTTTAGTGTTTACTTATTAAATACGTATTGCGAGTTCAGTTACAAGCTGCTCATCCTTCTCCATCCTCATGGTGGAGGCGCCTTCACATCCAGGTGCACTGACAGAGACCAGAGACACTTAACTCTGTGCTGTCTTTTGTAGCTCTTTGGTCTCACCCTGGTTGTTCAGTTTTTGTATCAGCTCTGAAATTTCACAGTGGGCACTAACAAGTTCCTGCTTCAAGTTTAGCGTATCCCTCAAAGCTGTATTATACTGAAACTCCTTGTAAGCAGTAATATGATGTTCTAGCTGACTTTTTGTCTTGGTTGCTCAGTTTTTCTTTCAACTCTGAAACGTCACACTTGGCATTTGCAAGCTCTTGCCACAGATTGAGTTTTTCCCTCACACATGTGCCATAGAGAACGCGTCTCCTTGTATGCAGCGGGCTGATGTTCTAGGTTTCTCTCTGTATTTTGCAGAGTCCTTTTAACCTGTAGGAAGGGGCTGTAGGAACTGGCTCTGGAGTGCCCCCTGTTGGTACTGGGCCTTAGTGCACAGCCTCTAGGGCTAAGATCTTCTCATAGAAGAGGGCATCATCCTCCAAAATGTATTCAAACGAAGGCTTCATTCTGCTGAGTGAACGCATCTGTCTCCGTCAGATTCAGATTTGTCAGATTTGTCAGAAGTTACAACGAGAATCCTCCATTATATCATTGATTAACATGTCGATTCCCATGGTTAGTGCTGTGATTTTATAGATGACATGACAACATTTGGAATTTTAGAATTAAATGGCAATATTGTATGTAAATGGTGAGCAATATTTCCTCCTGGAAGAGCTCCAAACACATCTAAAATAGTCTATTAAATGTAATAGCTCTAAGCAAGACCAAATGTGACCCAGAGTCCTGATCCCGCTGTGAACAGAGGAGCTGATTCCAAATATTGAATATATTAAGTGCTGTGCTGTAGTATTATAATAAAATACTAATACTTTTGTTAAATGCATTTAGCTTAAGGTGCTTTTTATTACATCACTTTAGCCATGCTCAAAATCAGAAGAAATATATATTTTTAGATTACATTAGATTGCTAGCTCAATATTAAAGGTCCTATAATAAGTGAAATTGACTCTTGTGAGCTTAAAGCCAAGTTAGAATGTTGTTACCTCATCAAAAACAACCAGAGTTGTATTTCGTTGCATTGACTCATGTTTGAGTAATAATGATAATAATAATAATAATAATAATAACAATTATTATTATTAATTATGCATCAGTTTTATATAGCACTTTTTTGGACACTTTACAGAGCATTATTCCTTTATTTGTAATCATTTATTATTAATCTGTCTACATCTCCAAATCTCTGTTTCATTTTATGATGTTATGAAGTAGTAGTTTTCAAGTTAATAGCTACCTTTTAACTTTTCTTCAGTAGAGTAGTTCTAGGACTGAAATCATCAAAATAATTCTAGTAAAGGTGTATGGAGTTTAAAAACACAGTGGAGCACTTCCTGTTTATTCACACAACATTACAAGACGGAACAGAATGTTTTCTGTTTGAGATAGATGACAAAAACAAAAACATAGAGGTACTTGTTACCTAGCAACTATAATATAACTATAATATAATAAACCTTTATTTTGTGAAATGAAGGTTTAAACTGCCAGAAAAATATGCTCCATATGTGTAAATTGTTTATTTTCTGTACATTTTCTGTACATTTCCTGTATTTTTGTACTTCAAAAAACATTTTTTTTTCATAAACTGCTACTTAAAACTGTGATAAATGTTTACCTCAGGTACTATCCCATCAAACCTATAATTAGAGAAATATGAAAACCTGTCATATGCACTATAAGATAAAATGACTAGAATTATGAATTTGCATCAAAATGTCAATATTTTTACTAGTTACTAATTATTTTATCCTCACATTTTCAACTTGTAAAAGTAATAATAATATTAATATAGCTACAAGTGGCAATGGCCGCGTCTTGCCCTGCAAGGGGAGGGTGCACTATCACACATTCAATTTCCCTCTTTACATTACACCCACTGCCATTGTGAGGCACTAGAGAACCTACCCCGAACCCTAACCTCCTGACCCCTAATTGTGATGTTTCTTCTCATAATAATGGGAACACTAAAATGTTTGTATCAAAAAACAATTGCATCGTTCACAGTGGTTAAGACTTCAAAGTTCAATTTCATCTCCCTATGTTTGCCTAGGCATGTGTATATACTTTATATAGAAAAAAATCATCATAATCACTACTCGTAGACTGTTTTTAGATTTGTTCTGTGTTTTTGACCCATCAGTGGTACCAATTTAGAGTAACCACAGCTACTGGGCCCCTTCTGCATTGGACTGAGAACTATAGAGGACAATGCAAACTCCACACATTTAAGCCAGAATTCAAAACTCTGACCTGCCAGCGGAGAACCTACTAACCACGTCACTCATTTTATTATGGTCCGGAGCCTTTTGCTCATCAAGATTTTCCTACCAGCAAATGACTCATTGTACTACAATGAATAATAGGAAGATATAGTTAAAAGTGTTGGCCTTCCTTGATCGACAGTTCACTTTAATGCAGCATTGAACAGAACTTGAATTCAATGTGTGTAAGGATTTGTCTATTTTATAAGCCTGTCTTTCTTGTACTTAGAGCAGCATAATTATCTGAAGTGAGGTGAGGGAGAGTAGTCACTGCATTGTTCAAACACTAAAGTTAGGTACATAGCTGAATTTAAATTGTATTGACTAGACTGGATATGTAAATTAGATAACTTTGAAGTTAATGGCATTCCTATACAAATTATGTAGGTGCTCTTAAAAGCAGGACATATGCTTGGAGCAGTGGATGTGCAGAAGTTTTCTGTCAAGCCAGCAGTTGTTCACTTTGCACATTTGCTTTTATGGAAGAAGGCAATAAGTTTTAAAGAGGCAATATTTTATATATTGTACTCCCTGACACTGGCTTTAATAAAACTATCTCTCAGTTCAATTGTAGGATGAAGTATTAGATTGAATTAACAACATCAATCTCCATAGTGAAAACGAGCCAGACCAAAGCAAACAGAAGCTAATGATGAGCTATAATACCCAGTAGAGCCAGGTGTTTTCTTATCATAATTGTAAAATATTTTATAATATCTGTTTCCATATCCATATTAGGCCAGTGGAACAGCAACCATTTGCAGCTAGTCTGTCTATTGCAATACACTAAACACTAAACAATACACTAAAATGGCTTTGGAAGTGACCTACCTAGACTAGATTTTGAGGAAGTGGAATTACTCTTGGTCCCTACATCTTAGAAAGTTGGTTCGAAGATGAACTCTGTTTCATCTGCTCTTCATCTCATTCTTTTTTTCTTATGGACATAATATTACACTAGACACAAACCCCATTTACTCAATACGTATGAGGTCTCTGCCACTTTATTTTTACCTGGAATGCCGGTTTATTCAGAGTGCTTGGCTAACCTTGATCCATTGAGTTTCTCACAGAGCCCCTGCACAGCTATTCTTTGCACCATGGCCAAATAAAGAAATCCTTTCAAAACCTGTCTCATCACTACAGCGGGTCGTGAGTGACAGAAATGCCTGAGAAAAATACACTTACTGCCTGTGGTGTGAAATATTTGTACTGTTGAAAATAACCATCAAAACTAGGTGTTTGAGCCACTATTCACTATCTACATGGATTCTTGCTTGTCTGCCTCTGCTCGTAAGCCAGTTCACACATTTTATTCTTCCTGTAGATTCTGGATGTGCGCAATGTCATGGTGGTTGTGTCCCGGTGGTACGGAGGAATTTTGTTGGGGCCCGATCGCTTCAAACACATCAACAACTGTGCCAGAAGCATCCTGCAAGAGGAGGGATACATAGGCATGATAGGGGTAAGGCTTTTATATTTAGCTCGTTGTATTGTCAAGATTTCACTGATGAAACATTTGTCAACTGCGACTTTCTTATTGGTTTGAGATGGGCCACCTGGTATCTGGTAGTCAAAGGTGAAAGGGTATGAGAAAGTTTTACTAAAGCTATTTCCTTGAGAAACTTCTCGAGCAATATGCATTTTTTTTGTTTTTAGAGCTTACAGGAATTTTTACATCGAAGAAGTCCAATTTCAATTAATACAAAAGTTCTCAAAGTATTTCATCTGTAGTAAAACTAAGAGTGCTTAATCTGCATTTTCAGTTCCACCACCATTTTAACGTACCTTGTTAATAATGTATAATCTTTGATAATCTTCTCGTTAATACTTCTGCATTTATCCCACAAATATACAAAATGTAAAAGTTAAAGTCAAGTTATGTTATTTTTGCATTTTATTTTATTTTCATATTTCTAAAATCATTTTTTAAAGCAGACAAATTACTTTGACTTAATTTGCTTATGATGCAGTTTTAACTGTGAGTGGAAGTGTGATTTGAGAAGGATTTTTGCTGAACTTTCCACTTTTCCTGACTTCTTAATCCTTGCTTTAAAAAAAATCTGTGATGCCATATAGTTCTCAAGTATTATTAAAAGAATATATCACCTTGACTAGCTCTGGTGATTATTGTTATTTCACAGTCGGATGGCCTGTAGGGTTATGTTGCTGTGGACAAACTGCCTTAGTGCTCTTAGTATTTTCAAAATGTTTCCCCCCTTTGTTATCCTATGTCACAGTGTCCAGGAAAGCAATATTTACACAACGCTGAAAAAGTAAATAAAAAAAATCTTTCATTGCTTTCTCAGACTATCTTGTGTGCTTAAAGGCTAGAGACATTTGACAGAATAATTCCGCTGGTGTCCGCTAGCTCCATGGTCCTCACATATTATAGGGATATTGGCCATTTGAAGTGTCTGGTGGCCTCATGTTGTGGAGATCAAACACTTTCTGAGGCTTTTACCAGTCTGAAGTTGGTCCAGTCTCTTTGAACTCATCTTTGTGTTCTGCAAAGTTATTCCATTGATAACATGATTGAACTTTGAGCTGTTTCCCCGACGTAGATTAAAGGTAGACCAGGCCCCACTCCTAAATGTATCCTACTTCAAAACATCCATGGCTTCACGGTAAAAAAAAAAAAAAAAAAAAAAAAAAAATAGATCTAGTTCCTGCGCTGGACCCGGTCATAACTAATTAAGGCCTACCGCCCGAGGACCTGGGATTTTGGAGTCCTCTGAGAAATGAAGTCACCAGGAACTGGATTTTGAAATAGTACAGTATAAACAAAAAGAAAAAAATAACATGAAAATATTAGGACTGCACAAAATTGTAAATTAATTGATGTCGGTGAAAACAGACTGCAGAAGCAAGTTAAAATGTTTAACTCTTACCTGTTGAACTTATTTAAATTAAGTAAATTACTTATTAGACTTTGCAATATAAATGCCTTGAATAATGTAATAGTAATATGCTTGATATACTTTTTAGACTACACAAGAAGTAAAACATTAAAGAAGACATACTGTGCTTGAGGCTGCAAAATAGTTAAAATCTAGGACATCATTGTGTTGCCGGCAACTCTGATGGATAGCTGCACATCACGCAAGCGAGTAGCACATTTAAAAAAATTGGTGCCAAAATGACTATGTGAAGCTTCAAAATGTTACATGTATCACAGATTAAGAAAATAAAATTGGAGAACGAAGAACAGAGGAGTGGGCATGTAACTGGGGTTGATCGGAGCAATGATATCTGGAATACAGGAAAGATTACTGAAACATGCATGAATCACACTTAATTACAGGTTAAATGAGAAGGGAAAACTATAACATGGTTAAAAGTTGATTTTGCACAATAGGGCTGCTTTAAATTTCTGTTACTGTTAAGCCTGTGACAGTGATGATGACTAGTCTCGAATTGTATTAAATTAGCAGTATTCAATTTAGATTCGCTGTGGATATTATAAACAAATAAACACTGTTGACGCACGTCGCACGTCGAGAGCCTTGGCTGTTTGTGTGGTCCAATCTAATAGACAAGTTTGAATTGCAAAAGACATAAATGCCAGTTCTAATGTCAGGGTGTATCATTGTGTAATGCAGTTTTTTTGTTGTTGTTTTTTTTTTACATAAGGGGCTGGATGCATGCATAATAATACGTATCATGAACCACCAACTATAGGGAAGGTAGGTTGGTTTTGGTGGTTAGAAGTTTTGGCAAGTACACCAAGTCAGCACCAGAACCACAAATATTTGCCTCAAGTTTTAAGAATGCACAGAGAACATAGGACAAATTTGTGTTTTTATTTTTGATTTGTGTTAAAATCCACTATAAGATACAGTGTAACAATTTTTGTACAGTATGGACTTAAATGACTCCACACTTGTACTCCAACTGCCTAAAGCACTCACACACAAAGTTTTCTCTCAATTGTCTTGTTTCATTTGCATATTTGAATGTTAGTGATAAGGGTAATTGAAAAATACAAATAAACTCAACATGAGAATTCTGCCTACGGTTATACAAGGCAATAGTTAGGCAATATCTCAGGCAAATCTTTGGAGGAAAATGCGAACAATTTTACACCTGTTTGCCTCTCAAGAAACACAAAACACTTTTTTGTTTTAATTTTCAAGTAATAATACCAGCCCACTACAACTGTCAGTCCCTGTCCATAGTAATTGGATGGACAGACACTACTGTGAAGACACACCGCCACAGTACAGCAGGGTCACATTAATATTAATGATGTTGTTTTAGAATATTTTTGACTTCATGATTTTTCCTGCTAGCTATGTTGGAGGCCTGCTATGTGTTTTAGGTATGGTCACCTCATTTGTTGCCATCTTTTGATCCTGCTTGTCACTAAGATAGTTCCAAGGGCCTGAAAAAACTCATTGAGAACTATTTTGTCCCATCTGCTATTGGACTGAAATATGTCAAATATTAAGCTTTATGAATTTGATCCTTAAATATAATTTGTCTAGGCTTCCTGTTTCCTGACACCTCAGACATCTTATATTCATTTGTTACTGCAAGTGTGACCACGCCAAATTGTGGATATGTTGTTGAATGTGAAGGAATGGACGGAACATTTAAAATCATACATAACTGCAATAACACCATATGATTTTTAGTTTTTATAAACTGTAATGTAGACAAAAATTGGAATTGGAGCGATTCCAGCATACCCAATAGTTTTGCTTTCTTTGTGAAACAACCAACCAAACACATATTTTCATATTTGTAAATCTCCAAAAGAGGGACTCTAGTTCCTGCATCTACTTCAAGCAAACGTAAAGTAAAGATTTTTATAGAATGCAGAGTTGAATATGTTGAGGCTCTGTTTGAGAATGACAAGGATGGAACAGATTAGAAATTAGTACATGAGAAGTGTTATGGATTGAGAAACAGTGAGGCCAGATTAAGATGGTTTAGGCATGTACAGAGGAGGAATTAGCCTTGCAACCCAACAATGGTCTTGTGCCCTTCTCACAGCACACAATTGTATGTTAATAGATTGTGTCATTTAAAGCTAACTTCATCACCTCATATCAACAGCTAGTTTTTTTTTTTTTACACAGATTTAATACATACATTTATTTTCCTTGCACTAAACTGATATTGTGAACCTCATACCAGTATCAGTATTTGTGAATTATGCATCCTTACCTTGATTGTTCACATACACTTTTATCTCTTTTTGGAATACATTAACATAACAGTATGGCGTACAACAATCAGTTCATTGCAATTTGCACATTTCCGTAAAGGCTTGGGAAACTCAGCAGGCGATCAGAGCAAAAACTGCCTGTCAAAAAACAGAAAAAATGACTCATAAGCTTGTAAACCGGCACTCAAATCTTAATCTTGTAAATGCCTTGGTGCTGTTATGTGAAGCGCTAATGCATGATAATGATAAGTCTGTTTGCACACTAATTTCTCTCCCCTCTTTCGCAGGATGAGGCGGCCAAATCAGGAGGGAAGAGCAAAAGGCCAAAAAACAAGAAGATCAAGTGAAGTTAATAAGACAGAGGCTTTTAATCAGAGACTTCAAACACTGGCGCTGCTGGCATCTGTGAAATGTCAGTTTTACACAAGGACTATTTTGAGACACTCAACAAACTTACAGGACTATGTCTGTCTATAGTCTGCCTTAAAGGTGCACTTTGTAACTTTTCTGGTGGAGGGTCCAGTCAATGCTTTTCTCCATGGAGACGTTATTGCTTTGCCTGGAATGTTTCACAGTGGCAATGGCATTAAACCTTTCTATTTTCATGGATACCAAACTAGACCAAGTTACAGGTCAGATCTGTGGTGAGACAACCCTGCTCACAGTAAGATATTTTTGAGCTGTAAAACCACCTGTAATTGAATGAATGTAAAGTAGAGCAATCATACTGTGGAACATTCCAGGCAGAGCAATGACATATACATAGAAACAAGCAGGTAACGCACCCCAACCAAAAAGTTACATAGTGCACCTTTAAATAATTTACAAATAGTTTACAAAGTTACAAAGTTTACAAAGATATTTAGTTTCATTTACTAGTAAAGTTCTAAGTAGTACAAATTCTCAAGGTTGCAACCTCAGGGATGGAACAATGTGACATTAAAGGTGCTACCTACTTGTCTCCATCGAGATGTTATTGCTTTGATTTGAGTTCCACAGTAAGACATTAAGATCAATTTTTAAATACATTTCTGATCAGATAAAGGTAAAATATCCCGATTGAAGACTGAAAACATTTATGCTGTTATATTAAATCTGTATATTCCAGATTATTTCAATAGGTGAATTTGGAAATGTCAAAGAACATTCACACTTTTTAACTTGCCCGTAATCAATGAGTATATGTCTGTATGTCCTTGCAACATAATGCAGTGTCCACTGCTCAGGGAATACATTTTAAAAACACCTGGAAAGGCCAAAAATAATTTAACTTACTTAGTAACTTAGTAGGTGCCCTTTCTGATTCACTGCTCCCCAGTTATCCATGGGACTGTATAAATGATTTTTGGGTGAATAGAATTTCAATCAACTGAGATCTGAATTGCTGTCACATTACAAAGTTTTTGAGATTTTAAAAAATATCTCAGCCACCTATACATTTTATGCAAGTCTGTTGTGAGTAATTTATAGTTTCATATGATTTGAAAACAATAGCATTCTGTTTATTTTCATTTCACACATTGTTCCAACTTTTTCAGAAATTAGTTTAGAGCCCATTTGTAATCAACAGCCTCCTTTTGGTCAGCACCTTGCCATTAAATTTAAGTATTCACAGTGTTGAGGGAGTTATTATCCCAGCTTCAATTCATTCCATCTTTCAGCCCTAAAATCTGCATGTGAATGAACTGCACTTGATACACTCAAATGTATTCTGCCTCTTTTTACAAATATGATCAGGCAAAATGAAGTTCACAGAGTTTCAGAGACACTAACACCCTCACGCCCACTCACACATGTCTGCTATCCCCAGTACGTGCCTCTTCTAAAACACCGTTAAATATTCTTACAATCGCATGTTGCCTTCGTCTACCCTGGCATTGGATCCTGTGAGGTTTTGGCCCTCACCTTTTTTTTCCTCTTTAGTGTCACTCGAACGGTGGGAAGACAGGGTGTGCATATTAACCACCCCGGGGCTAGCTCTGGGGAGCAGAGGGTGGCTATCTAAAAATATCTTGGACTCATCTGCGCTTTTGGTACTTGGGGTTTTCTGTGCCACAACCCAACTGTTCAAGTCCTTTTATCAACCGCCAGGATCTTCACTGGATGGGGTTATAGAGACTAATAACACATTTTAAGACTTCTCCATTACTGCGGTCACAGCTGTCTGATCATTCAAACCATTAAAAACAATTACAGCTAATTCACTTAGCTGACAGGCTGTCATCATGCTATACACACCATCAAGGCATTAATCACGTTTTTACAGTACATTTATGGAGAAAAAAAATTCTTCTCCAAGTTCAAGAGAATAATTAGGCTCCTTAACACATTTTCAGATCCAGCTCAACTAACTGGTAATTGTGACAACACTTACTGGGTGAGCTTTGATGTGCTCAAACGTTGTCAAGAGGATTTTAACTTTTCATCATGTGAACCAACTTGTATGAATTTCAATTCATGAACGAAAACAACTTGACTTTGTTGAAATAATAGAGACTCAGAAAACAGACTCAGTTTGCCAAACTTTTTTGACCTGCATTTTAAAATACCAAATGACTGTGGTCACGCAGACAGAATAAATTATTCATGTAATATTGTATAAATTAATGTTCATGACCATATCCTTTTTGTCTGACAGTGAAATTGCCTTGTTACATCAAAACACTTTCTGACTTCCCACTACAAACATGGTCATCGTTTTAAGCCTCTAGAAATCACATTAGACACAAATAAAGAAGTGTGTCGGTGTCTTGGGTGTTGTCCGTTCCCCTGCTCTCCTGTTGCTCACACTAACCTGTAAATCAGTGAAATGTACGCGGTGTGGGTGTGACTGAACCCCGTGGCACGCGCTGAGTCGCGCGCCCTGCCCTGCCTTGCACGTTCACCTCAGTGCGCCGTGAGGGTCTGGACCACTTCACTTTCTGATTGCAGACTTCAGCCTTTGATCAGACGCGGCTGCTGCGGACAAAGAAACCTAAAGTTAATAAAGATTAACTCATCGGGGACGGAGACCGGATGTTCTTTCGCCTACACAATAAAAGCTGCAGATTTTGCCGTGCGTTAAGCAGCCATACACAGTGCAGTTGGTACAGGGGCGCATTGCACTCTCTATTAAACGTGTTTGCCTCCTCATTTGAGGTATGGTTAATATTTAAGAGAATTGCCTTTGCACCTCTTTAAAACTCGCATGCATCCTCATTTTGGTCTGGTCTCGTCATTATGATTTGGATACAAATTTAATAATGTTATCCTTTTAACTGCCCTTTTATACTATAATAGCAATGTATATTTGCTATTATACTAATAGCAAATTGCTATTTAATCTATGATCTGAACTGACATTTCGCGCATATCACATTCTAAGACGCGCATCAGTGGCAGGTTTAATTTGAAAACGAGCCAGGATGCACTCCGTTGCTTGAGTCTTGTGCCGTGACAAAAGCAGCTGTGCGCTCCGCTCTCACACATCCAGCAGGCAGCACTCTTCATAAATACTCTGACCAGCGTCACAGACAGTGGAGCGCGCGCCCACGCTGGATCTACTGTCACCGTTACGCACAAACTTGTATCGAAACTTGAGCCTCCGCAGATCAAACTCGCTGGCAAAAGGCAAAATGGGATTTTGGGGCAACGCGTGTCGTTTTACGCACTACTCTCCATTCATGATTTACCCGTTAGTAAAGTGGAGAAGAACGTTTGGGCGCGTAATTGGACTTGGTCGGTGCGTGTGAGCGTGAAATGAGAAAGCACTACGATGGTTTTAACAGTGAATTAACTATGGGTGCGCACGTTTTGGAGTCCAACTCCAGCGGCAACTTGACCCCAGCTGTGTCCGAGCCTGGGACTGTCTTCCCGGGTTATCTGGTGGTGATCCTGTCCGTGCTCATGGTTACTCTGGTGGTCGTGGTGGTCGCGGGGAACGCGCTGGTCATTATGGCTTTTATTGTGGATAAAACCCTAAGAACTCAAAGCAACTACTTCTTTCTGAACCTTGCCATATCAGATTTTCTCGTGGGTAAGTTGCCTGCCTTCTGCTCTTCTTTGTGCCACCCCCTTGTCTCTCGTTTGGCACATTTCGTGTCTTTTGTTCTTTTCAGTGTGAATGAAAAATCACGCCTTAAAACACGCATGTGGTTTTGAGTGTGATTAATTACAGTATGCCTTAGTTTGTGAATTTGCTAGTTTGGGTGACCCATTGTCCTTCGTTATTAATTTTATATATTATTTGTAAAAGAAAAACATTTAAATCATTATCAATCTTCAATACACACATTTATTTTGACCAAACAGACAAAATTATCCTTTCATTTATTGCAACTGAAATATATTTTAATGGGGCCACATGTGCAGACAGTTCTTTGTTTGAAATGCACTGCAGTGGAACATTTTGGTCACTGGTTCACTTGGTTGAGCTGCTGGTTTGCACATGAATAGTGACTTGTGAGAGCTAGGGTGAATCATCCTGCAGCCTGTAGATGCATGTCTGTGTGTGTGTCCCATGTGCAGGTGCCTTCTGCATCCCAGTCTACATCCCATACAACCTGACGGGCCGCTGGATGCTCGGCAAAGGGCTCTGCAAGGTGTGGCTGGTCATGGACTACCTGCTCTGCACCGCCTCTGTCTTCAACATTGTGTTAATTAGTTACGACCGGTTTCTGTCAGTCACCAGAGCAGTAAGTAAGCACACACACACACACACACATCTTTAGTATAGAGATGGCCTGTTAATGAGATAAAACTCACTCAGAGACTAATTTTATTATTTTGACCTATAAAACTTTTTACTTCAAAAATCCTGCATTACAGATGCTGCCTTTGCTGATATTGCAATGACTATAAATGCAACATACTGTGCACCCAACCACTAATAGTCCACGTGTCACTCTAGGGCAGTGTGTATTGTGTCCTCTGCTCCGGTTCCTCACTGAGGTCTCCATAATTCTATTCCAATACTGAATAGCCCAATTAATTTGCTCCACAAATATTGTCAGGGCAAACAGTGGCAGATGACCCGTCAATCTACACAGTCATAAGCATACACTGCACTCTCTGTTAAATAAAGCATTTTGACACCATGCCCTACATATTCTATATTAGCCACTATAAACCAATATGGAGTTCTCTTGTTAGGCTCTGTCCCTGCATGTAACAAGCTGTGCCCCATCTATTAGACGCAGGAAGGTGGCTTTATATTTGAAACGGGAAGCCTTTTGCGTAAACAATGCACACTCAAGCGTGGGGCCAGAATGAATTAATAGCCCCATGGAGTGGCTCCTCTTTATAATGCATTTGATTTGATGCCCAAGTGGATTTGTAAAGTTGCTTATTAACCACAGGGACAATTAGCAGCATCATTGTCTTGTAGGCAGATCCCCAGCTGGTACAACTGCGGCGATGATTTTAGGCGACAAATGGATAAAAACTCGACAACAAAAGACAGAGTGGTAAATAGAAGAGGCCGTTTAATGATAGACTTTAGACTGGCAGAGGTAAAGTGCAAATGGAGCGCATGTGCACAGAAAGTGTTGGGTGGTGGGGAGGAGGAGAAGTGAATCTCAGAAACCAGATGTCTCTTTCACACTTTTGTGTTGCACTGGTGAATGTGCTCCGAGCCTGACATTCCCCTCTCTCTTTAGCTCCAGTGACACACGGCGTCATGAGTGGGTTTTATTTACACAGGCTGAGTAGAGGCACTGCATTTGTCAGTGTGTATAGGAGCCTTTAGCAAGAGGAAAAAGCAGTGTATTAAATAAGCACTGATGACACTTGTGTCCTCTGTCTGCACCAGGTCAAATACAGAGCGCAGAGGAACATGACCCGGCAGGCAGTACTCAAGATGGTGACCGTGTGGGTGCTGGCCTTCCTCCTGTATGGCCCTGCCATCATCTTCTGGGAGTCTGTGGTGGGGCAGAGTGTCGTTCCACCTCACGAATGCTACGCTGAGTTTTACTTCACCTGGTATTTCTTGCTTAGCGCCTCGACCTTTGAGTTCTTTGCTCCATTTATTTCTGTGGCTTTCTTCAATCTCAGCATCTACCTGAACATCCATCGCAGGAACAAGAACAACAGTGCCTGCTCCGAGGAGGAGCCCAAGCCTGATCCCAGCCCCAGGAAGCACAAAGAGACCGTTGCGTGGTCCGTGTTTTTTGTCAAAACTCGCAAAGTGTCATCAAGTGAGCCCACTGCCATCTCAGCAGTCATTGAGCATGATGACGTACTGTCGCCTTCCTCCAGTGGAGAGCCCACCACCTCTCAGATATTCTTACAGAGCGAGCGGTTTTCCCCCAAAAGGAAAAACTCCAGGCTGTTTCAACCTACAAATTCATGCATGGTCCCTGGACGAAGGGCACCAGGGTCTCGGCTTTCTCGAGACATAAAGATTGCTAAATCGCTTGCGATTATTGTGTGCATATTTGGAATTTGCTGGGCCCCGTACACACTCCTCATGATCATCCGTGCAGCATGTAGTGGGGAGTGTGTGGAGAACTATTGGTATGAGATGACTTTTTGGCTGCTCTGGCTGAACTCAGCCATCAACCCCTTCCTGTACCCTCTGTGCCACAGCAGCTTCCGAAGGGCTTTCTCCAAGATCCTCTGCCCCAAGAGACAATCAGTCCAGCCTCAAATCGAGATACAATCCTGTTAGAGGAAATCAGTTGCACTTCCATTCTTTATGAATGCAGTATTGTATGTTGTGTGGTCAAAACACTGTAAAAATACACTGTTCTTCCATTGAAAAAAAAAGACAGTTTCCGATATAAAGGAAATATTTGCATCAAAGACAGTATTGTGTGATAGCAATAAAAAGAGGGAGAAGAAACTGCACTTTTAGTATTAGTTAATACTTCATAATGATAGGTTAAGGCCGTTGGCTTGCGTGTCACCTTAAAGAGCAGATGTAAGTGGGCTTGATTAAAGCCTGTATGCTGGATGTCAGACATTTTCAGATCTGCCTTGTTCCTTTTCAAATGTGCACTCACCTTCGGCAGACAGCAGACAATCTTTTGTGAGAGCAGTAATGTACCTAAGGCTTTATATGCGCTAAGGCAGACATCATTATGCATAGGAGAGCAATTAGCATAATTTAGGCTAAGACATTATATAAGTAGTATGCACACCAAATTTTCAAAATGGTGGCTGCTTGTGTGGATGAAAAAGCACAGTTGAAGTTGACAATGGCGTTTAGAGTGTGTCTTGCAGCTGCCGTGAAGAAACCACAAGCTGTTGTCTGTAATGACGACCAAATTGACGTGAAGGATTTTAGCCGCCTTGATTTTTTTTTTTTTTCTTCAAGATCGCACAATACATTCTTGCTAAGATAATTACATTGCTTTCAAGATTCAAGCTTTTGCAGCAATATAGAGATTAACATGGGAAACTATGAAGCACTTAAGTAAAAGAATAAGCTGTATTTATAGACTGACTATTGCGTGTAATACAAACATAGTGGTGTATCATTTGTGAAAAAGGCCCATACAGGGACAGAGTGGATATCTGCACTTCTTTAAAATACTATATTGTTCATGTTGATGTTTAAAAGTGTACAGCACTATAAAAAGAAGACATTTTTGTACAGTAATATCTATGCGAAGATAGATTGTTGTGTTCCTAAAGCACATTATTTATTCAAAGAAGTTTTACAACAGAAGCAACTATAAGCTACTTGACTTGACTTTGTATATCTCTTGGCTCTGAATGTTTGTCAGTGTAAGTAGCCAAAGAAATAATAAAGATGGAAATGCCTAAGGTTCTGAAAGCTTGAGACTTGAGCGTGTATGTGTTTACTTTTGAATCAAATGTTTTCCATACTTCACACCTTAAATCAGTGCACTTTATAGCCTGGTTCTCAACTCTTTGTCCTTGAAATGCCCCCTGCTTGTGCCAGAGACAACCTGGGCCCCCTACTCTGATAGCCTGCCTGCAAAGCTTGGCCTAATTAAATGCTTTTATATATAATTTTAAATTTAGACAAATAGCAGTTTGCTCCTTCTTTTGAAATTGACTTTTTTTTTTTTTTAATTCATTTTTGTTCAACTCAAACTTTGACCAATACCACAGGTTGAAAACCACTAGTTTCAGGGTTGCACCAGTGTGAAGTGGAGTGTCCAGTGAATAAAAAAGTCCCCTCACCACCAAAAGACTGAACACGTCAATGGTCACTAAATTGCCAGTATAGATAAATAGATAGAGGAATTGTTCAACTGAGAACTGAAAGATTATGTGGATGATTAAGTAGATAACATAGCTTTATTAAATGAATGACATAATGATGAAGAATAGTGTTTTGAAGTTTCTTTTATTTTTTGCTGATACAGTCCAAGCAGAGATGGAAGAGTTCGAGATAAGCCAGCTGTCTTCTTTTTCAGTGCCCTTTGACTTGAAATAGGAATTACCATGGAAATAGTTTGCATGTTCTATATACAGCAATGTTTTAAATACAAAAGTTCTGAACCATAAAAACTCATTTATTTTTATGGTCTAACTGTCCTCAGGCTTTAAACGTGTTTTTGCCCTGTTGCCCACGTCTTATCTGCTTGTATTATTTATCCAAAGAGTTGTACAGCCTGGCTGTTGGCACTTATTTGTTGCTGCTACTTTGCATTTTTGCTAGACGAAGTTGTACAGAACTTTTTATTTGTCAAATTTCTAATTTCATACAGTTTGTGTAGATGAGCCTTTGTGGTTATATCTACGACCCTCACAGTAAAATGGCATAATTATTAACTTTTTTAACTTTCTTGTAAAAGTTGGACTTCCTAAATTCTTTGGCAGTTGCCTGGCAACTCCATTTGCAGCATCAAGAGCCAAAAATACACTTAAACAGATTAAAGTGACATATTTTTGAACTATGAGGGAGTGAATGATAACCTATATTTTGTCTGCCTGTGCCAATAATACTTTTACAGTCTTTTGGAGAAGGCTCATTGGGAATGTGCCGCATTGAATTGTTACATTTCAAGCACAACTAATTGCATGCCCCTGGGTCATCTACCCCAGAGCCGATCTGCAGACCTGTCCCCAACATAAAAGAGACACAACACACTGTGAAACAAGGATAAGCACAAGGACAAACACAAAAACACAAACAAAATATGTGCTTTTGAGGCATTCATTAGCAATGATGACACATTTTGAGAACTCATTTTCGTCTGATCATGAGTGTTTTGGTGGCAACAATATGGATGTAAATAAGATGTAATGTTAGCATATAACTAGACAGTTGTTTTAAAAGAAAGCTTTTATCTGATAACAACACAAGCAGGAGATATGAATTACTAAACTGGTCTTTTCTTTTTGCATATTTCCAAAATGAGACGATGAAGTGGAAAAAAGAGAAGTGCGACTCCTCAGGGATTCAAAATATCCGGGAAACACAGCCAGCTCTGGGCCAGCTGGGAATTTGTGACAGTATTTAAGAGCAAAAGCAGAGCCTCTGAGAATACCATAAGAGACACAGTGAAGCCAACACGTCATTATACAAAAGTCATTGGTCCAGACAGTTTAGCCTTTTTCAGTGCAAGATGGTATTTAGGGGACTATGTAATTATTAGGAATTGTCATTAGGATTTACATTATTCATTTATTATTAGTTTAAAATTGTTCAGTGTTTTCACATGTAAAGTCATCTTTGGGTACATCTTACATATCTTTATTTTCATGCCAGCATTGCACGTTTGATAATCTTTAAAAAAATATTATGATTATGTTACTGATACATTTTTGATGCAATGCGTGAGGACCAGTAGTGTCCATCGGTGCTCTTTCTTTCTTTTTTTTTCATGTGATCAGAATATGTAAGAGCTTGTTAATTGTGTAGTGCTTAATTGAGTGGGCAGAGCTTTTTCAGAGAAGTCCTAGAAACTCAAATTTAACACAACTGAACATTTTCATTTGGTTTGGAGTCTAAGGTCAAAATAATCCTGCTTAAAATAAAGTATTATTTGTATTTTGAAGTATTTCTTTATAAATGAGTATTTATTTGACCTTGTTTTATCTTGTCACTAATCTTTCCACCAACGCAATAGCATTCTGTAGAACATTAGGTCATTATGTTATCCCAGCATATGTAGGCATTCATTTACCAGCACCCACACTCGACTCACACGTTTTCTTCCTTATAATAGCTAGCATGTTGTCTGAGCATTTGGGTAGAGGAGTGCAGTTGTTTTGTTTTTGTCAGTGTGTGTGACAGAGACTCTTGGGATTCATGGATTCTGCTGGTGTTGAATGATAGCGCCACATGCCCTTTGACCCCATGCCAGGAGCAGTTTAAAAGCTCCCACTGCGTTACTGTAAGGTGCCGACTCACTGGGGAGCACAGAGAGACAAGTGAGAACACAAGACTTTTCAGTCTAATATCATTGTTACTGACATCTACATTTTTGTAGCTGTTATAAAAGACAGAACTTGTGAACTTAAAGGTGCACTATGAAACTTTTCTGGTGGTGGATCCAACACCTGCCTGTTTCCATGGCGATGTAATTGCTTTGCTTAGAATGTTATCACAGAGACAAACAGGTGATGCCACCAAGCCAATTAACCAAATCTATGAAAAAGGCAGTGAAAACCCTTGTACTTGATTTAATGTAATTTTAATGATTTTCCATGTGTTGATTCAGATAAAGCAATGACATCTCAATAGAGATGATCAGTTGGTAAACTCCCCACCAGAAATGTTACACAGTGCACCTTTAAGATAACTGAGATTAGCAAATAAAGAAAGCTTAATGCCAAGAAAGTCTTTTCAAAGTGGAAGGAGGAATGAAGAGAAAAGACAAGATTTTATATTTGGTCTGATCATGGACATCCCCACAAGGAACCAGCCATCTAATTTTGAATGAACTTTTGAAAGAATGGAGAGTTTCTGGTTCATCACTATGTTGAGAAGCATCAGCTATTCCCCCAAGCTCTTCTCAGTGACAGAACTCCTCACCGTTCTTCTATGAAGGACCCAAGGAAACTCAGTGCTCCAGTACCATGGACATGAGATCCAAGTCAAGTGAAATGTCTTCTTATACAGCCAAAATAAAAATACATGTTCACCCACACAGTGAGTATAAATTAATGTCTAACTGTCAACCTTGGAGGCTTATGTGGTGACTGCTTCTTTCAAAGCGTGTTCCCCCTCAAAAAACTACAAAGACTTCATCTTTCAATGTCAGCAACGATCACACGTTTGGACAAGCGATAATACAGTCCCTGCTCTGAACGCCATGAGGTGGTTGCTTCTCAAAACATGTTTGGAAATAAACTTGATGGCAGAACAAGAAGTGGCTTTTTCAACACGGTCAATTTGGGTACGTTTTTCCAAAGGTCAGAGGAGGATGAGATGAATAGAGAAGGTTTGGCCGACCTGTGTAGAGCCTCAGCTGGACTTGCAAATAGAAAACAAATTGCTCGCTGCTCCTATTGACATTGTTCCCGCACGCAGCGGGAGACTTAAGACCCAACAGTTACAGGCATCAAACTGAAAATCCCACTCAGTTCACAAATCCGAAAGATGTGTTTTCTGATTGGTGCTATGCTAATGCCATTATTATGGAGATAAATCAGAAGCGTAGTGTGAGTACTTCTATGGGAAGTTTGTATCAGTCTCTACAGCAACTGCTCAATTATTTATACTGATGTGGGTGTGCATTTTCTCAATTTACTCAAGTTAAAAGAACTCCCATAATAAAAATCAATATTATTAGGTTATAGTTTATTGTTCCTTTGAGAAATGTGAGTGAGCAACAGACTGTGCCTCTGTGCTGCTTGTCATTACACTCCATATAACATTTAATAGTGAACTGGCAGCTGGGGAAAATACTATTGTTAATATGCAAATTTGTGTTTTACTCTATTGTTCATTGACCTGAAAATAATCTGAGAAAACCAGGCGGCTAAACTCTACCAGGAGGACCATTGCATGACTTATGTCCATCCACATGTCCATAAATGTAAACAGCAATCATGCCAAAAGGCCCCCAAAGTCAACTGTTTCCTGTTGACATAGTTGACATAGTTTTACAATGAAGACATGCTCAAACCCTTTTCCTAACCTTAATCGTTACAGATTTGTGTCTAATCTCAATCAGACACAGGGCCTACGGCAACATTCATGGACAACCTACATCTAATATGCCTATACTATTTACACCCACGTTGGTCTATGCTGACATGTAACAAACAAAAAACAAATATTTAACTGTTTTAAACTGCTAATTAACCTACACAAGCAGCATAGAGCAGCGAGCACACAAAGCTAGTTAAATTCAAACTAGACATGAAATCTATTGATGATTAAATGTCTTTGAATGGCCTTACTCTAAACTATTTGAAATTAGTTTTAAAAGGCAGTTAACTAAGACAGAAACTGGTTAAATGTTTAATTAAAATGTTGGTGGAGGTGCATCCTGGTAGAGGTCTGCGGGATAGGGTCTTCTGGGTGGAGGAGTCATTAAATCTAAAAAAAAAAAAATTCTAAAATGCCAAAATCGCCAATTGCTTTGTTTCCGTTTCTTGTAATAGATAATATTTTGAAATCCGTGTATCATTTGTTCATTTGTTTTTCAAAATAAAACCAAAAATAAGAAAACAAAAAAATATATTATTTGCTTCATTATTTGTCTCCAAAACCAAAATGAAAAAAACAAAACAAAACAGATAATGATTATTTTTTTCAGTTTTCAATTTTGTGTTTAAATGAATAATGGAAAAAAACAGATAATGGCTGTATCCTGTTTTCGTGACTTAAACTGTGATGCCGGACTTTTACGCAGCATAAAGACTGAACCAGGACTAATCCAGAATTGAACCAGAATTGAACTGAACCAGGATTGAAACAGTCCTGGTCTGGTCCATGGTCTGAGTTCCAGTTTCAGTTCTGGTCTCGGTCTGGGTCTAGTCCCAGTCTCCTGATCACCC